TATCCCCTCCTCCCACCTCAAGCCGCACCTCCATCTCCTACCGACCAACCTCATCCCGCCCCCTTGACCTGTCCGTCCTCCCTGGACTGACCTATCCCCTTCCTAACTCCCTACCTACACTCACCTTTACTGGCTCCATCCCCGCCTCTTCGACCTGTTTGTTTCCTCTCCACCTATCCTCTCCTCTATCTCTCTTCTATCCGCCTCCCACTCTCTCCCTATTTATTTCAAAACCCCCTTCCCCTCCCCCTTTTCTGATGAAGGGTCTAGGCCCGAAACGTCAGCCTCTCTGCTCCTATGATGCTGCTTGGCCTGCTGTGTTCATCCAGCCCTGCACCCTGTTGTCTCGGATTCTCCAGCATCTGCAGTTCCTACTATCTCTAATATTTAAAGTTGATCTTTTTAAGAATGTAGCCTTCTATATGTTTTAATTTTTGTCCATTTAATTTGATTTGATTTGACTCAATTTTCCTGTTCTCTTTCAGTAATGATACAGCAGAGAATAGCAATTAATGACTACCATGAAAAAATAAAGTCTCATCATAGAAGTCATAGCCCAATGTGGCGTCACACAGAGAGGATTGAACTTGGAGGTGGAAGAAAAATTGGTAAAGTTAACAAATATAATTGTAACATATGATACATTTTAACTATTGTACATTTTACAGTTAATTTCACATAAATTATGTCTGGCTTCATGCTAGCTGCACTTAAATTAGAATTAGCTAAATACAGGTAGCACTGCACGAGTGCTCCATGGTCACAAAGAAATGTAATAATCCAGCATTGAGCTATAAAATGAAAAGGGTGGAAAAGTTCAAACTTAAGTCTGTTCTGTCCAATCAATTATACAACATATTTTACTCATTCAGTGATAACAACACACTCTGAGAAGTGATAAAAGAAACCCTCAGTCAAATCAGGAAAATTCATGAGAGAGATTCATTTCTGATCCCTTAATTCAAGTTGAGCTCCAGGCGAGTTGCCTGTGACTCGTCCCAAGCCTTGAACAACTGAAATGCAAACTTGGCTCAAGATGTAGAAAGTGACTCCAAAGGTATATTGGGGAGCTGATTAGCAATTAACAATAATCAGAAGAGTATGAGAATTGAAGAGGAAAAGGGGTTATTAAATTAGTAGTGAGGTGAATAATAGTATGAAATGTTTAAGGAAGAACTTCCCAAAGGAGAGCTAATGATTGGCATGTCTAACATTTCCATCTGTAAATCTTCATTGTTTGTTTGTTTGTGTGCAGTAAAGGAAGAGAGGCATGAAGAAAAAGATCCACTGTCTGATTTACAGGACATAAGTGACAGTGAAAGAAAGACAACATCTGGTGAATCTTCCTCAGGTATTGGAGATATCCTGGCCTCCCAAAAGCTAGTGTATAAGTGCTTGGCTGTGAAGACATCAATAAATGGGTTCTGCCAGGAACACTTGGCTTCAGGCCTCATTACAGCCATGGTCCAAACTTGGACAGAAAGCTGATTCTTGCCTAATGTCTAGCAGTGACTACCTTTGACATCAAAGCCCCATCTGACTTGAGTGCCATCAAGGAGACCTAACAAAACTGAAGCAACTGGGAATCAGTGGGAAAACTTTCTGCTGGCATAAAATTAGATGGTTGCAATTGTTGCAGGCCAATTACTTAAGCCCCAAGGACATTGTTGCAAGCATTTCTTTTGGTGATGTCCTAGTCCTGGCCATTTTCAGCTACTCCATGTATGACCTTCCCACCTTCATAAGGTTAGAAATTGAACTGTTCCCTAATAGCACAGTGTTCAGTTCACAGCTCGTTAGATAATGAAACTGTCTGTAGCTACTTTCAGCAAGACCTGGACAACTTTCGGGTTTGGGCTGATTTGGTGGCAGGTAATATTTGTAGCATACAATTTCCAAGGAATGATAATCTCTAACAATAGAGTCTCTAAACGCTTCCCCTGAACATTCAATCGTTAAATTTGTCACTAATCCCTTTAACCGAACATTCTCTGGGTCATCATAGACCCGAAACTGAACTGGACTGTTGTAAAAACACCTAGCCACAAGTGTAAGTCAGAGAATGGGAATTCTGTGATGAGTAACTCACCTCCTTGCTCTCTAAAGCCTGTCTACCATCTACAAGGCACAAGAGGAGAATGTGATGGAGTACTCTCCCGTCTATGAGAGACTGCAGTTCCAACAACACTCAAGCTCCACACATTTCCAGGACCAAGCAGGTGCCTGATTGGCACTTTACTCACTACCTTCGGCATTTACTGCTGCTACAGTGATGGAGAGAATGTGTACTGCCTAGAAGAGACACTTTAACTTGCCAGGGCTTCTTTGACAGCATCTTCCAAATCGACAATCTCTTCTGACTGGAAGAGAAAGGGCACAGGTTGAATGGTGGATTTCTACCCCCTGCAATTTCCATCACACCATCCAGACTTGGGAAATGAATTGTAGTTCCTTAGTGTTGGTGGATTCTGGAACCCTCAATTTAACAGCAGTGGACTATACACATGGACTGTAAAGTTTCATAAAACAATTCTCCACCGTTATGGGAACGATTTAAGAAATAAATGCTGGCAGTACCACATTCCACAAATTAATAAAACAATTGATTCACAATGGTATATAATAGTAATATATTAATCTGTCATGTTGTGGTTGGTTGGGTCACCGAGCTGGTTTGTTGTTCCACAGACGTTTCATTACCCTGCTGGGTAACATCATCAGTGCAGCCACCGTTGAAGCGCTGTTGTGTTTTCCCGCCTGTAATTTAAATTCTGGTATCCCTTGAGCTGGATTACCTCACTTCTGGTCTTCCTTCACAGTGGAGTGTTTTCGGGGTCTAGCTGTGTGTATTTATTGATGCCTGATACTCCACTAAGAAAGTCATCAATAAACACATAGATCGAAACCCCGTATATACTGCTTTGAGAAGGAAAACCAGAAGTGAGGTAATCCAGCTCAACGGATACCAGAGTTTAAATACCAGACGGGAAAACACAACAGCCCTTCATCGGAGGCTGCACTGATGATGCTACCCGGCATGGTAATGAAACATCTGTGGAGCGGCGAGCCAACCAACCACAACATCCACAACCCAAGCTACAAATCTGCTCTAAAAACCTTAGATTAATCTGTCATGTTGGGTAACTAGTTTTGCCGAGGAAATATGTTGCATCTGTGAGCTCATTTTGCAAAGCCTTCGCAGTGATTTCCTGAGCGTGGTATGAAATATGCAACAAGATTGATATGAATTTTCCATCCATGAACTCGGAATCGTCATATGAGACATAGACATGACCTCTTATCTCATTTATTCTTGCTCTCTCTTCCCTACTGCCCCTCCACTCAACCCCCTTAAAGCTGTGAAGAATGACAATTCTTACAGCAGCTACATCTTGCACAGTTAGGCCAACACAAGGTGAATCCGTGGATAAGTCCTCCCAGCGTTTCTTATATCATGATTTTTTGAGTTATGGAGCTTTTCAGCCAAGTAGTAGTGCAGGATGTGATTAACCTAACAGGAGGTGCAAAAATAAATTTGAACATTAACAGGAACGATTTCATCAAAGCGAGTTGCTGCATTTAAATTTATTTAATGATAGTCTACTTTAGTGGCCTTAATGCTGTAAATTCTTCTTTCGTAGAGCATGTTTAAACAAAATATTTTGTAACTTTATAAATATTTGTAAGGGGTTCCTTTTAAAAGGGGGTTCTTCATTGTGAACACCTTCTTCATCACTTCTTTTATGACCTACTATTCTACTTTTGTACTTGAATATCTTTAATAGGGTCTGCAACTGCCTCTGAGGAAGAAGAGAGCAGCAGTGAGGGATCTGAAGAGTCTCCTAGTCTGTCTGAGGTTGAATCTGAACAGTCTCCTGGTGAGGACTAAATTTTCACAAATCTCCATGCATAAGCTTAGGCATCTGTAAACCAGCTATTTTTTGCTAATGAATAATCTGCGTGTTTGGTGCTATGGCTTCTTAAAAGTGTTTTTACTAATAAAGGAATTGTAACTGGATGCACTAATCCTCTGCCACTCTCCCAGTGTTGATGTGTATCTAGTTCAGCTAATTTAGAACAGCTAATTTCTCCTTGCACTATCTGATCCTAATAGGTTCTGAATAAACATGCTAGAATCTTAGCTGGAGTTGAGCACCTTTCCGTTTTTTAAGGGTTTGACTTTGTTTGCATTAGGAGAAATTAGTGAAGAGGAGGAGCCCAGTGATGAAGAAAGGCAGAATGGAAATCACATCCAAATTGGTAAATGTTGTTATTGTGCGTTTTCCCTTTCTCAAATCCAGTGTGTAAGTTATGCTTTTGTGTGTTATTTGTACATCCTGATACTGAAATTTTTAGTTACAGAATCAAAATTTGATCATGATTCAGAAGAGAGTGTGGAAGAGGAAGAGGAGGAGATGGAGGAGGAGGAGAGTCCAGTCTCAAATACTCCCACTGAAGGGGAATATGTTCCTGATTCTCCACCTGTTTCACCGGTTGAACTGAAGAAAGAATTGCCACAGTACTTGCCTGCTCTTCAGGTATTTAACCAGGATCTTACAACTTAGATTCTTAAACTTTGCACAAACCATTTAAAATTATGTATACACTTGCATATCACAGTTAAACTGCAGTTTTTTGTAATGTAAATGATAAAAACAGAGGCACACAGCAACCTTAATCCAAAAATAATTTTAGTACAGTAGTCTGGGTAATACAAAGTCACAAGTTTCACATCTTGTAGTGTCTTGTAGATTCACTGGAACAAGGGTAATTTAATCCAATAAAAGAAGCCTCATCCAGCAGATAGAAGTGTAGAAAGGTGGAGTGGGGCACAGAAATGGATTGACACCAAGTATAAATAATTTTAATCATATGTCAACACAGATAATGATGCATGTTTCCATTATTAATTGTGCACAGGTTACTGTGCAGGAGAACTTGAAGAACCTGAGATACCAGTAATATTTTTAATTCCATCGCTAATGCTCATGTTACTCTTTTGCCCCACCTCAGGATTCTCTACATTCCTCCAAATACTGTTGTCCTTGTTGTTTTAGCACTTCTCAATGATGGCATCCCTTTTATTGATAAAAGAAAAGTTTGTGTTTTGTACAGCACTTGTCATATCTCTGAAATGTGCTAAAACTGCACCCACAATTACGACTGCAAATTATAGTTTTTCTTCACTGTTTGATTCAAGGGTTGCCGCAGCGTGGAAGAATTTCAGTGTCTTAATAGAATCGAAGAAGGAACTTATGGTGTGGTTTATAGAGCTAAAGACAAAAAGACAGGTGAGTGGTGGTTTTCAACACTAGATAATTAGCTACTTGCAAGCAGATACCATGTTCAATTTGTAATTCAGGCAATTCAATTTTTAGTTCAGTTTAAGCCTTGCACAACTTAAAAAGTGAAGAAGTCGGTAGGAGTGGATCAGAGTACTGGATTCTTTGAAAGATAGTTTCATCAAGTTAACGTAAAGGCCAAATGAAGTGCTCGGATCAGAGGTGGTAACATTATGAAATCTTATTAAATTTATAATTGGGGTGTGAACATATTTATTTCATATACCTAAAATTATCCTGGGATTGTGGATGTTCTTGTTCTTTGTAGCAGTTTGATGTTTCATCGTCTCAGAAGACAGCTAAGATTGAAACACATTAATCCAAGACTAAAGGAAACCAATCAAGCACCAGTGTTAGTGGGGCCATTTGGGAGATTTAATCTGATGCTTCTGATCACTGGGTACCATTGCAGCAATTGATGGATAATGACTACCACCAGTGTTTGGATTATCCCACTCATTGAGTCAGACTGCAGACAGGCCGAATTCTGAGCCAGCATTAAATATTCTCTTTACTACTTACGACTTGTGCAGAGAAACATCATCTACTTTTGAGTCTCGTCATTAGTGTGCTTTTGTAACTGCACACATTTCCTTTCATGAGGTTACAGTATATTTTAATGTAACTTAGACTTTGTGGGCCTTGATCTTTTAGCGATATGGATTCCGGGAACTCCTCCCTCTTCCAAAAAGTTAAGAATATCAAATTTTCGTTTCTCTGTGAAGGCAGTATTCAAGCATTCACATAGCTATCCATCTGTTGCACTGAATGATTTGCAAAATAAATATTGTTGCAACACCAAGTTGATCCACTTGATTATCACTTCCAAAGGAAACTACATAGTTCAAAAAATATATGGTGTGCACTGTTTAGACTTATTTTTAACGTTAGGGATATAAGAATTCAGTCAGTTCTCAGCCTCTACCTGATCCAAATATTTAATCCTTTTGTGGCTGCTTATAGAATTCTAACTAGTTTTTGACTTTTGTTAAGATTTGTAAATGACATAAATATACAAATAATAACTTTGAATCAGGAATTCTGAAAATGTCACTGGATGATATGTTGGTATTGATTTGTTTCAGATGAGATAGTGGCTTTGAAACGATTAAAAATGGAAAAGGAGAAGGAAGGATTTCCAATTACATCTCTTCGGGAAATCAACACAATTTTGAAAGCACAGCACCCAAACATTGTGACAGTTCGAGTAAGCAAACAACAATTACTTTTGTGTGGGGTGGAGACATACTGAGACCTGAGGTTACCCTGGTATTTAGCTTTGGTAGATTAGATCCAGTTTCGACTGGAATATTAAGCAAAGTTTGCAGAAAATTCTCCTGTTAAACTGATTATTTTAGAGTGTGAAGTGTTCTATTTGATACACTGATAGGGTTTGTGCCATCTACTGGAATTCAGTTGTGGGAGAGTGAACGGTTGAAGGGAGATTACATTTGAACTTCCTAAGCTTTGCAACTACAGTTAAAGCTTGTAATAACCTGGTTCAATATTCTCTTATAACATTTGGGGTGCAGGAGTTCTTTTCACTCCTGTAGAAGTAAATTTCATTCTACTGGTTAAAAGTAAAGAATAGGGTTTTCTTCTTAATGCAGTCCAGCGAGTAAACAGTTTCACTTTTGGGCCCCATGATCTGTATTGATTGTATTTCCAGCTCTCGCTTGATAGGATTATAGATTCAAATGATATTTTGTGCAAACCAGATACTAATGTTACAGAAAGAAGTGTGTGCTGCCTCAGTGAGCGGTAATAGTAAAAAATCAATATTTATTGAATCTCCTATTATTTCTTCAGGAAATTGTAGTGGGAAGCAACATGGATAAGATATACATTGTTATGAATTATGTTGAACATGACCTCAAGAGCTTAATGGAAACCATGAAGCAACCTTTCTTACCAGGTACAGTCTTTGTGTTGCACATTGTGAACACTGCAAAGTCAGCAATCTAAAATACTTAATGTATAAATGATAGTACATTTGAGAACAATGCAAAAGTTTTGCTTACTGCTTCTGCAGTGTAGCCTAACATTCTGTTCTGTGGATTTGGAAATTGTCTTTTGTAGATTATGTATGTTTGAAATCACTTCAGTCTTAAATTCTAACTGCAAACACATTTCTTGGCTTTGTTGAAAGCTTTTGATATCTGGGTTAACATTCTCAGATCAAGTGAGTTCTCAGTTTCCCTAACCTTCTGTTTGGATTTTGCTGCTTAAGGTAATGATTTATGATGATGGCATCCTAGATTCTTTGTACCACATATACCTCTGTATAAGGTTGAAAATCTTTGCTCCTATTTGGCTTCCAAATTGGGAATGGCAGTAAAGATTGATTTATGGCTGGGAGTTATTCTTTGTTTAGCTCCATGTCAAGTTGAGTATGATATTTATTAGCTTATTTAAAACATTGTCACCAAGAGATGAGGACTCTAGCTGCGTCAAGAGACAGTCAGGGTTTCTCCTGAGTTTCAACATCACAAGTAACAATATGGAACTTCCACTTTCTACTTTCCTCTTCTCTCGAGATAAACCTCTTGACAGGATATCACCTGTTACCAAAGGCAGTGATGTTCTCAAAAATCTTTGCTGATTATTGAGAATGCAGTCACTATTATGGAGTCAGAATTAAATTGTTCTAATTTTTAGGTTCCTTTGGTACGGTCACTTCATACTGAAAATATCAAAATTTCATAACATCTCAAAAATGCCTGCATTTTTGATAGAGGAGAGTGTATAATATGACCAATTTACATCAGATTGTTTTCCTTTATTGCCTAGTATCTGTCCTATACATGAGTTGCTTCATTAGTAAAGTATATAAGATGATCATTCTGTTTAGGAACTGATTTTTGAATGACTTAATTATTCATAGAATTCTAATACTTAAAAGTAAAATCTTCCATTGTTTGATGTCGATGGCTCAGCATCTCGAAGCACAGCATAAACCTCTCCATTTTATGTTGTAAATTGAAAATTAATTACTGAATCTATGTAGTTGAATGCATTTTTTTTTTAGAATGTGGGCTTTTATTAGCCATTTTTCTTGTTGGCTTTAAATATTGCATCTGCAAATGTGCTTTTAAAACTTGCATGCAGTATGCAACATGACCACTGTGTGGAGCCAGGGTTCCAGATTTTTCTGCCAAAAATATAATTAGCTCACCAGATTGTTTTGTTGAATAAATAATACTTGGGATGGGGGTATTATTGGCAGCATTCCCCATCTCTGTTGCTTTGAGGACACTGAACCAATCCTGAGATAGTTTAAGGTCATAGGCCAGTCAGCCTGGTCGCAGGTTCCCATCCCTGTGATTTAGTGGGCTTTTACTGCAGGCAGTGGCTTCACTGCCGCTTTTGATGTTAGCCTACAAGTGACCAGATTTAACTTTCTAGTCCAGTACCTGAACCCCAGAAATTGTTCTCAGGATTATTTTTTGACATTTCTTGGTAGAATTTCATAAAGCAGTGTGTCCAATACTGATCAGGATTGGGTGACTGGTTGGGGAATGGTTGACAGAATTTTGCCAGAAGATAATATGAAAGGATTTGGAACCCAGGCACATTAATGGAATTAAGGCCACAATCTCACTAAATGATGGAATAGGCTCAATAGGCTGAATAACTGTCTCCTATAGAGATTGGAAGGCTGACTGGGAGAGTTTTGGAACAGTTGATGCTAGAGATGATGACAACATCAGGTATTTAGTGAGTACGATGTAGATGCGAGGAGGACCAGTCTTTTTGGAGTTTGAAGTGAATAGCCTTAAAAGGCCAGAGGTGTGGAGTTGTATCTATGTCTTTTGGTGGGGTAGGTTGCTAAGATTGTGAACTGTCGAATGCAATCCGAGAGAGTTGCCACAGGGCAGGAGCTGAAATCAGGCCAATAATGTAGTAATTCTAATGAGTGCAGAGCAGGGGATCTTCAGCCTTGCTGATGTTTTAAGAAAATTCTGGCTCATCGATGTCAGAACAAACAATACAGGATTAAATAACAAGAGATTATAGAACAGTAAAGCTGAGTGTTGATGTTATACAGAAACTGATGTAATGTTGTGGATAGTGTTGCCAAAGAAGCCACGTTTTAGCAAGAAATACAAAGGATTGGAGTTTCGAACACAACTAGTGTGATTGTAGTTGTGAAAAAAAAATAGGAATTGGACAGTGATAACACATTTACAAAAAGGATAGGAGGTTTGCCTTTAGCCTCTTCAATTACAGGAAGGTTGTGGGCAAACACACTGTAGTGGCAGTCACACTATTGCTGACATGGACCAGGGAATCACCTACATGTGAAAACTCATCAATCTTTAAAATCTGCTTCCAGGTGAAGTTAAAACACTGATGATACAACTTCTAAAAGGTGTTCGACATCTTCATGATAACTGGATCTTACATCGGGACCTAAAGACATCTAATCTATTACTGAGTCATTCAGGAATCCTCAAGGTCAGTGCTTCTGCATTGAGACAGTGTATCTAATGGCACATTTTCACTTTAATAGGATGATCTTCTTGTCCCCCTTTCTTTGAAACCCTAAGGATTTGTGATTGCCATGTTCAAAGTGTAGATGTTATAGATACACACATTCCTAGCTTTGTAATTTCTTTTTTGGTGTCCCATCTGTGGTGATGTCTCCTATTCCTATTATTGTTATATCCCCTATTTAACGAGTGAGATGTTCTTTTCCTATTCCTTGTGCACAGATCTCTGTACCATTGCCTACTTTAAACCAAACAATCTGCTGTCAGCCATGTTCCCAGGATAGTTTTGACCTTTATTGGAGTGTAGGTGAGCAAATGGCTAAGAATAGCTGTAAAGGAAATAGGGTTAATCTCTTTACTTCCCATTTTGTTGCTTTCAAGCTACTCTCTTGCTGCTTGTTGCCTGTACACTATTATACCAAGAACAGGACCTGATGCGAAGATTCTCTGAATGCTCCTTGACAGAGCTTTAAGACCTTACCTGGCTGCATTATATTGTAATCACACCAATAACTGACTGCTCATTCCAGGCTGGGGCAAATTGGTATATCTAATGCACATCTGCAATTTGCCATTTTAGATTGCATCATCAGTAAATTAGTAAAGCAAGCAGTGACTTTTGTCTATTTCTTTCGAAGATCAATACATTCAGTGTTGGGTCTTCTGCAACAGATAAAACTTATTGATTCATTGGCCCATTTAAAGCGGTTAATATTTGTAGAAAATGGAAGGATGTTGCTGAATTGTCTTGGTGATGGATGTTACCTTGCCCATGGAATAATTTAAAACATGTCTTACTGAACATTCTCTAGATTGGTGACTTTGGACTTGCTCGAGAATATGGCTCCCCATTGAAACCTTACACACCAGTAGTAGTAACTCTCTGGTATCGAACCCCTGAGCTGCTACTTGGAGCAAAGGTTAGTGATCTAAGGCCGGGAATGGGGTGGGTAATTATTTCACAAACAGAGAAGAACTCTTTCCAATAGTATCTGTGCATTGGATTCTTTCTACTGATCACCATAAAAGTTATTAGTTATTTTTATGCAATCCATCTGCTTCTGTGCTATACTTTGCAGCATTCTTGTGCTTTTATCAGCCAATTAATTAAGTACTAGTTTGCTAAAATGTTC